GATGGGCTCGATAGCAGAATGGAATGGACAAATGGACTGAGAAAAGAATCTGTACACTTGAAGATAAAACAATCGAAATTACCCAATCTGAAAAAAGACACAAAAAGGTTGCTTCAACTGACACAAGAGCAGAAAATCAAACACCGTATATTCTCACTCATAGGCCGGTGTTGAACAATGAGAACACATGGACACAGGGAGGGGAACACTACACACTGGGGTCCGTTGGGGGGAAATGGGGGAGGAGCGGGGAGGTGGGGAGGTGGGAAGAGATAGCATGGGGAGAAATGACAGATATAGGTGAGGGGACGGAAGGCAGCAAACCACACTGCCATGTGTGTACCTATGCAACAATCTTGCATGTTCTTCACATGTACCCCAAAACCTAAAATGCAATAAATAAAAGATACTTTCTACATAGCAAATGCAGAACAGGCAAAAAAAAAAAAAAGTTGCTTCTAGTTTTTGGCAATTATGAATAGAGCTGCTAAAAGCATTGTACACATGTATTTATAGGAACATAAGTTTTCAGTTTTTTTTTTTTAAGGAAGGAAGATGCCAGTTTTATTTAAACACAAAACGTGCACATAAGCTGTCTACTCATTTTCTTTGCTGAGCAGCCTGGCATTGGGGTTGGTGACTCTGATGGCCAGCTGGGCAGCTCTTTCCACGATGGCTTTGCGGTTCTTGGAGGAAACATTGTGAGCAGTCTCAGCACAGTAAGACTTGTTGCAAATCAGCAGCACTTCCAGCTCCTTGACGTTGTGGACCAGGAACTTCCGGAAGCCACTGGGCAGCATGTGCTTTGTTTTCTTGTTGCTCCCATAACCAATGTTAGGCATCAAGATCTGGCCCTTGAACCTTCTACGAACCCTGTTGTCAATACCTCTGGGTTTCCGCCAGTTACGCTTAATTTTGACATATCGGTCCGACTGGTGCGGGATGAACTTCTTGGTTCTCTTTTTGATGATCTTGGGTTTCACAAGGGGTCTACGGGCGGCCATGATGCCGAGGAATTCGCTGCTACCTCCATAGGCAGCGCCGAGGAAGAGCAAGTTTTCAGTTCTTTAGGGTAAATGCCCGCAAATGAGATTGCTAGGCTCTATGTTAAGTGTACGCCTGACTTTGAAAACTGCCCACCATCTTCCAGTGTGGCTAGGTCACTCTGCGTTTTCACCAGCAGTGAACAATGGTTCTAGTTGCTCTCTACCCTCCCCAGAATGTGTGTGTGTGTGTGTGTGTGTGTGTGTGTGTGTGTGTGTGTTGAGATGGAGTCTCACTCTGTCACCCAGGCTGGGGTGCAATAGTGTGATCTTGGCTCACCACAACCTCCGCCTCCCGGGTTCAAGAGATTCTCCTGCCTCACCCTCTTGAGTAGCTGGGATTACTGGCGCATGGCACCATGCCTGGCTAATTTTTGTATTTTTAGTAGAGATAGGGTTTTACCATGTTGGTCAGGCTGGTCTCGAGCTCCTGACCTTGTGATCCGCCCGCCTTGGCCTTCCAAATTGCTGGGATTTACAGACGTGAGCCACTGTGCCTGGCCTCAGAAGGTGGTATTGTCAGTATTTGGTTTTAAGTTTAGCCATTCTAAGAAGTATGTATTATCACTTCATGGTTTTAATTTGTATTTCCCTGATGATAATGATGTTGAGCATCTTTTCTTGTGTTTATTTGCTATTTTAGATTCCATTTGGTGAAATTTCTGCTAGAGTTTTTGCTTACTTTTCAATTGAGTTGTTTAAGTCTTACTGCTGAGTTTTGGGAGTTTTAAAAAATACATAATCTGGCCAGGTGCGGTCGCTCACGCCTGTAATCCTAGCACTTTGGGAGGCCAAGGTGGGTGGATCACCTGAGGTCACGAGTTCAAGACCAGCCTGGCCATCATGGTGAAACCCCATCTTTATTTAAAAAAAAAAAATACATATATATATATATATATATATATGTATGTATGTATGTATTTTTTTTCTTCTAGGCTGGGCATAGTGGCTCATGCGTATAATCCCAGCACTTTGAGAAGCTGAGGTGGGTGGATCACTTGACGTCAGGAGTTCAAGACCATCCTGGCCAACATGATGAAACCACATCTCTACTAAAAACACAAAAATTAGCCAGGCATTGTGGCACATGTCTATAATCCCAGCCACTTAGGAGGTTGAGGCAGGAGAATCACTTGAACCAGGGATAAAGGTTGCAGTGAGCTGAGATTGAGCTACTGTACTCCAGCCTGGGCAATAGAGCGAGACCTTGTCTTGGAAAAAAAATTCTGGGGTGGGCACAGTTGCTCACGCCTGTAATCTCAGCAATTTGGGAGACTAAGGCAGGAGGATCACTTGAGATCAGGAGTTCAAGACCAGCCTGGGCAACATAGTGAAACCCTGTCTCTACAAAAAAATGAGTGGGGCATGGTAGCACACACCTGTAGTCCCAGCTACTAGGGAGGCTAAGGTAGGAGGATCAGCTGAGCCCTAGGAGGTTGGGGCTGCAGTGAGCTATTTGCTAGTATTTTCTCCCAGTCTATAGTTTGTCTTTTCATTCTCTCTTATTTTTAACCCAATCTGTGACAAACGCATCTTTTCATTCTCTTTACACTATCTTTTGCAGAGCAAAATTTTTAATTTTGATGAAGTCCAAATTACACATTTTTTTTCATGGATGCATTGTGTTTCTGTGCCACATTGTTTTGTTTTTGTTGTTGTTTTGTTTGTTTTGTGTCTGCATCACATTTAAGAACTCTTTGCCTAACCCCTGGTCACAGACTTTTTTTCCATTTTCTTCTCAATGCTTTAATAGTTTTATAGTTCGCATTTATATCTTTGATCAATTTTTTTCTTTTTTGAGGCAGTTTTGTTTGTTGCCCAGGCTGGTGTGCAGTTACAGCTCGCTGAAACCCCATACATCCTGGCCTCAAGTGATCCTCCTGCGTCAGCCTCCCAAAGTTCTGGGATTACAGGTGTGAGCCACCACTCCCAGCCTATGATCAATTTTTAATGAATTTTTGTATATGGTGTGAAGTTTATGTTGAAGTTCTTTCTTTTGCACTTTCGATTAACAGAGATTAGCCATGCTTGTGTGGATCTGCTTCTGGGTTCTCTTTTCTGATCCGTGGGTCTGTGTCTGTCCTTTCAGCAACACTACACTGTCTTGCTTATAGTAGCTTTGTAGTAAGTTGTAAAACTGGGTGAAGTGGTTCCTCCAACTTTAGTTTTCTTTTTTTTTTTTTTTTTTTTTTTTTTTTTGAGACGGAGTTTCGCTCTTGTTAACCCAGGCTGGAGTGCAATGGCACGATCTCGGCTCACCGCAACCTCCGCCTCCTGGGTTCAGGCAATTCTCCTGCCTCAGCCTCCTGAGTAGCTGGGATTACAGGCACACGCCACCATGCCCAGCTAATTTTTTGTATTTTTTTAGTAGAGACGGGGTTTCACCATGTTGACCAGGCTGGTCTCGATCTCTTGACCTCGTGATCCACCCGCCTCGGCCTCCCAAAGTGCTGGGATTACAGGCTTGAGCCACCGCGCCCGGTCTAGTTTTCTTTTTCAACATTGTCTTAGCTCTTCCAGTTTCTTGGCTCTTCTATACAAATTTTGGAATTTGTTTATCAATATCTACAAAACGTTGTTCTGGAATTTTGATTGGAATTGCATTACATTTGTAAATCTCTAAACTGATCGGTTTGAGGAGGGTTGACATCTTTGCTATGTAGTCTTCCAATCCATGAATATAGTATATCTCTTCATTTATTTACCTCTGTTTTCATCAGTGTTTTGAAATTTTGAGGACCCCTTATTTACATTTTGCCTGGAGAGCAAACTAATAGACTTCTGCTGAGCCACTGGGAGGATACCTAGGGATCGGATTGCTTTTTAGGGAACTTGCACACAGTCCTCCCTGCCCCAGCCTTTCCATTTTACTGCCAGTTCCAGAGAGACGAGGTTTGCCATTCCCAAGTCTTTCAAGGGTTTTGCAGAGAAAATCTGGTTGGCTCTTGGCGTCTCCATTGTGCATTTGGTATTTGGCTTTCTCACTGTGACAAGCCTGTTACAAATAAATAGAAATACAATAGGTTTTTTACCTTGATGATATTCTTTATTTCCTTAAACCTATCAAAGATCCTTATTTTATATCTCTGATCATTCTAATATCTTATCCCTTGGTGCATCTGATTTCACTAGTAGTGCCTTTGTCTTTAGGTGTTTGGTGATTTTTACCATGATCTCATGTTCAATGGAACTTTCTTGATGGGAATTCTTTGAGGCCTAGGTTGAAAGTGAGTATCTCAAGGTATTCTGTAATTTTTGCCCACTGCTCTGGGAGCTCTGCCAATCCAGAATTATGTTAGAATAAATTTTCAGCTTCAGTGTAAAATAAATAGTACCTTTAGATAAAAATTCAGACCACAGACTTGTGTAAGGCTTACTTTGTGATAATAAAACCTCAGCACCAAGGTCAAAACATGCAAATGTCCCTGCTCTGTGCCTCAGCACAGCTTGGCTCTTCCTTTCCATCTGGTTCTCTGTGCTCTCTGAGGCATTCTCCTGTCCAGGGGTCAGTTTTCAGCGTGGCACCTGTGGCTCTGCTAAAAGGGTCTATGCCGACCTCCAGATGTATATTTGGAAAACAGGGATTTCCTATGTAAAAATCACTTCTCTGTACCTTTTCTGTGCCCAGCCTTGGAATAGGAACTAGAAGTACAGATGTGAAAAAAGACACATGGCCTGTCTTCATGGCGCTTACATTTTGGAAGGAAAAATAATGACCAACCCTTTTTGAGTCCTTGTTTTATGTCAGTTGCCAGCCTGGTACATTCACATGAGTGATGTCTGCGGTCCTGGTAATGGCCTTGCACAGTAAGCTTTCTCATGGATATTTTGTGGATGAGAAAACTCGGGCTCCAGGGACAGTTAGTGAGCCTGGCACTGGGGTTTGAGCTCCTCATGCTGGGGCTGAGTGACTGTCCTTGCAGCCAGGTGACCTGCTGTGGCCCTGCTCTCTTGTAGAGGCTGTGCATGCCCGTGTACTGCAAGTACCAGTTCCATAAGACACCAGTTCACAAGACCAAGGGGGAGCCCCATGGAACCCACGTTCATTTCCAGGACATCAATGTCATCTTCCTTGGGGCGCTGCACCCCAGTGACCTAAGGGAATACCTGGAGGGCCCCCCCATGGTGGTGGAAGTTCACGACCGGGACCGCAAGTCAGAGGAGTATTCTCGGAAGCCTGTGCTGTTTGGGGAGGACCCACTGGATTCATACCTCAACTTTCAGACCCTCATCTCTCCCAGAGAGACAGAGAACAACCCCTTTGAGTCCCAGAACAAGATGTGGTACCCTTATGGGATTGCCCGGGTCAGTTTTGCTGACCTCCTCCTTGGCCACAAGTACTTGAACCTGGCCGTCCCCATCCACAGCTGTGAGGTTCAGCCCACACATTGCAGCCAGAACAGTGGGAGGAGGAAGATTGTGGGGCTTGGGGTCCCAAGAGATGGCCGCCAGCACAGCCCAATGCCCATGGGCAACTACCTCGAGGCTAACTCCCAGCTCAAGCTGAGAGTGGACATCGCGGTGCCACTGAGGGCTGGGGCCAGAGCCGTGGATCCCGACCTCGGGGACTCCCAGTTTGGCCGCATCATCTTCGTCTTCGACTTCAAGAAGGTCTCCCTGCTGCACAGCCTGCTGCAGGACGTCACCATGATCAACGCCAAGGCCCTCAGCCTGGACTCCTACCCCATCGGGACCCTGCAGCAGATCCTGTCAGCCTTCAGGATGCGTGTGCGGGTCCAGGAGCAGCAGCACCTGGATGTGCTCACTGGCTTCCATCTGCTGGATGGGAAGACCCACCTTTTTGTCCTGGAAGGTCCTGGCCGACCAAGGCTTGAGGCAGCTGTGGGAGAGCCACCAAAGCTGGTAGGTGGTTTGTTTTGCATTTTGCATAAAAATGATGGCATCTGGATGCTGAGGAAGTGGAGAGGTTTTTCAGAGCCACGGCCTAGGTGCAGCGTCCTTATCTGTGAGTCTCTTTTCGGGGTTCATTGTGAGGTACTTACCAGGGGTTAGTAATTAGACTTGAAGACTGAATTGCCTTTGGTTGCAGGGAGGAATTCAGGAGTGTCTAAGATGAATGAGGTGTCCAGGAGAGTGGGGCTGTCTTCAGGATTCTGAGCCAAGGGCCACTGTGGCTAACCAGGAGCAGAATATTCTGTATTAGATTTCGGCTTGGCCCAGGGAAGATCATTCTGAAGATGGAGGGGCTGCCTAGGCTGCAGGAAGTTGCCCTTTTCTGAAGGCCTTCAGGGCACCTGCGGGTCACTCAGTGGGGACACTAGAGGCGAGTAAAGTGTCCAACTCTGGGCTGCAGCAGGCAGCCCCTTGCCAACATGGTGAAACCCTGTCTCATAGAAAAATTAGCCAGGTGTGGTGGCACACACTTGTCATCTCAGCTACTTGGGAGGCTGAGGCAGGAGAATCACCTGAATCCGGAAGGCAGATCGCAGTGAGCCAAGATCACGCCACTGCGCTCCAGTCTGGACAACAGAGTGAGACTCTGCCTCAAAATAAATAAAAATCTGTAAGGTGATTAAAGCACTAGCCAGAGGAAAATTTATAGCCTTAAATGCTTATATTGGAAATGAAAAATGCCTGAAAATTGAGACATCACTATAGTTGTTGCAGACATTGATGTGTATTGCAGCAATCTTGCATATTCTTCACATGTACCCCAAAACCTAAAATGCAATAAAATTTTTAAACGATATTAAAAAAAATAAATTTTAAAAGTGTATTTCAAATTATACCAATATAGTTAAAAATTTATAAGAAATTAAGGCCGGGCGCGGTGGCTCAAGCCTGTAATCCCAGCACTTTGGGAGGCCGAGGCAGGTGGATCACGAGGTCGAGAGATCAAGACCATCCTGGTCAACATGGTGAAACCGCGTCTCTACTAAAAATACAAAAAATTAGCTGGGCATGGTGGCGCACGCCTGTAGTCCCAGCTACTCAGGAGGCTGAGGCAGGAGAATTGCCTGAACCCAGGAGGTGGAGGTTGCGGTGAGCCGAGATCGCGCCATTGCACTCCAGCCAGGGTAACGAGTGAAACTCCGTCTCAAAAAAAAAAAAAAAAAATATATATATATATATATATATATATATATATATGTATATATATGTATATATATATGTTCAGATAATTTAATATGGTATTGAATACAAAAGTTAGTATAAAAATCTATCAAATTTCTGAATATCATCTGCACACAAAAACTAATTTTAAAAATTGGAACACATTTAAAGTAAAATACATTGGCTGGGCGTGGTGGTTCACGCCTGTAATCCAAACACTTTGGAGGCTAAGGCAGGCGGATCACCTGAGGTCGGGAGTTCAAGACCAGCCTAACCAACATGGTGAAACCCTGTCCTTTTTTTTTTTTTTTTTAAGTAAAATATATGATATTCATAGGACAAAATTTGGCAAAAAGATGTGAAAGATGTCCATCATGAATATTACAGAACTTGAAGAAACATTAAGGAAATCATAAATAAGTGGAGCGAGATATCATGTTCATGAATTTGAAGACTCTATATATTTTTTTAGATGGACATTTGCTCTGTCCCCCAGGCTGGAGTGAATGCAGTGGCACAATCTCGGCCCACTGCAACCTCTGCCTCCCAGGTTCAAGCGATTCTCCTGCCTCAGCCTCCTGAGTAGCTGGGACTACAGATGCGTGCCACCACACCTGGCTATTTTTTTTTTTTTGTATTTTTAGTGGAAACGGGGTTTCACTATATTGGCCAGGCTGGTCGCAAACTCCTGACCTTGTGATCTGCCCACCTTGGCCTCCCAAAGTGCTAGCATTACAGGCATTAGCCACTGGCCTGAAGACTCAATATTCTAAAGGCTCAACTTATCTTGCAAATTTGAACTATAGATTCAGAGCAATTCTGGTGCTTTTTTTGTTTTTTGTTTTTTTTTTTGAGATGGAGTTTTGTTCTTGTTACGCAGGCTGGAGTGCAATGGCACGATCTCGGCTCACCACAACCTCCGCCTCCTGGGTTCAGGCAATTCTCCTGCCTCAGCCTCCTGAGTAGCTGGGATTACAGGCACGCACCACCATGCCCAGCTAATTTTTTGTATTGACCGTGCCCGGCCACAATTCTGGTTTTAAAAATTCCAGCAGCTTTTAAAGTATAGACCTTGATTTTAAAATTTCAAAAACTTTTTGCATGTTAAGATTCAGACTCTTTTTAAAAAAAAAAAAAAAAAAAAAAAAAGGTCCATTCTTTAAAAATCTGTTGGGATTTTAAACCCTTTGCAGCAACATGCAAAGGTAAAAAAGATACCCTTGGCTGGGTGTGGTGGCTCATGCCTGTAATCCCAGCACTTAGGGAGGCCGAGGTGGGTGGATCATAAGGTCAGGAGATCGAGACCATCCTGGCTCACATGGTGAAACCCATCTCTACTAAAAATACAAAAATTAGCCACACATGGTGGCAGGCACCTCTAGTCCCAGCTACTCAGGAGGCTGAGGCAGGAGAACTATTTGAACCTGGGAGGCAGAGGTTGCAACGAGTGGAGATTGTGCCACTGCACTCCAGCCTGGGCAACAGAGCAAGACTCTGTCTCAAAAAAAAAAAAAAAAAAAAAATACCCTTGAATAAGAACAAGATAGAAGAATTTTCTGTACTAGATATCAAGATTCATGATGAAACGATGGTTATTAAGATAGTGTAGTACTGGTTCAGAGATAGACAAGCTATCTATGGAATATAATAGAGAATCCAGAAACAGATCTACACGTAAGTGTTCATTTGACATATGACATGTGTGATATTGCAAAATCGGTGAAGAATAAATATACTAAAAACCACTGAATTTTCTCCTTCAAAAGGATGAATCTTACACAATGGGATGCTATCTCATACTCATTAGGATGGATAGAATACAAAAGTCCAATAATGACAAACATTGGCGAGGATGTGGAGAAATCAGAAGTGTCGGCCAAGCGCGGTGGCTCAAGCCTGTAATCCCAGCACTTTGGGAGGCCGAGGCAGATGGATCACGAGGTCGAAAGATCTAGACCATCCTGGTCAACATGGTGAAACCCCGTCTCTACTAAAAATACAAAAAAACTAGCTGGGCGTGGTGGCGTGTGCCTGTAATCCCAGCTACTTAGGAGGCTGAGGCAGGAGAATTGCCTGAGCCCAGGAGGCGGAGGTTGCGGTGAGCCGAGATCGCGCCATTGCACTCCAGCCTGGGTAACAAGAGCGAAACTCCGTCTCAAAAAAAAAGAAAAAAGAAATCAGAAGTGTCCTCTTCTGCTGGGAGGAAATAGGTGCAGCCACTTTGGAAAACACTCTGGCAGTTCCTCAAGTGATTAAACACAGAGTTCCCTTATGACCCAGGAATCCCACTCCTAGATCTGTGTCCAAGAAAATGAAAACATGTATCCACACTAATGTGTGGATTACTGCTAAATTAGTGTACTAAACTTGCACACTCATGTTTATAACAGCCTTATTCATAATAGCCAAAAGGTGGAAACAGCCCAAATGTCCACCAAGTGGTGAAGGGCTAAACAAATGACAGGATATGCACACACTTGGGTCCTATTTGGACATTAAAAAGGAATGGAACACTGACCCATGCTACACTAGAGATGAGCCTTGACAACATGCTGAGGAGAGGCAGCCGGCCACAAGATGCCACATGTGACATGCTTCCATTTATATGAAATGTCCAGAAGAGGCCAATCTATAGGGACAGAAAGCAGATTAGCACAGGGGTCCCCAGTGCCTGGGCCGTGAACCTGTACGGGTCTGTGGCCTGTTAGGAACCAGGCAGCACAGCGGGAGGTCAGTGAGCTCTGCCTGAGCTCCGTCTCCTGTCACAGCAGCAGCAGCATTAGATTCTCATAGGAGTGAGAACCCTTTTGTGACTGCTCATGAGGGACCTAGGTTATGTGTTCCTTATGAGGAATCTCCCCACCTCCGCCTCCCAAAGTGAAAAATCTATTTTTGAAAAGCAGCATTCCAAGCTTATAGATGAAAATATAGAAGAACATAGTCATGACCCCAGAAGGGAGAAAGAGTTCTTGAACCAGACAAGGACAAAGAAGGAAAGAGTCCTACATTTGGCGAAGTTAAAAGTAACTTCTGTTCATCAAAAGACACTATCAGAGTCAAAGAAAATACAGAGATGAATCTCTAAATTTAAAATTTTATTTGGGAAGCAAGAATTGCAATTTGAGGTACACAGACTGGACAGTCTTCAGCATGTCTGAGAAACAAGGTTGGAGGTTTTGTAAAAAGGAGGGGCATTATACAAATGTTAGGTATTGTTTTGAGAGTTCACTGGTACTACAAAGTTTTGGGGTCCAGTAACTTCTGACTGGTGAGTTCCAGTGAGTGAAAGTAGTCTTAGAGTCGCAGCGGGTGGTGTCGGCAGCTATCCGATAAGACTGGCTGCCAGGTGGTAGCTCACACTTGTAATCCTAGCACTTTGGGAGGCTGAGGTGGGTGGATCACTCAGGAGTTTGAGACCAGCCTTGAGCAGTCTCAAAAAAAAAAAAAAAAAGACTGGCTTCAGGTGGCAGCAGGCGGCCTCAGCAGTCATGCTGCGGAGAATACCTTCCCGGAGCAGTGCCGCATGTCCTGGATGCTTTCCCCTGTCCCCGCACTCTGCTTTAGTTGGGTGTGATGAGAACGACCCAAGGTATGTGATCAGCTTCCACAGCACCACAAAAACCACGCAAAGACAACCCACTATCAAACAAAATTATTTGCAAGGTCTGGAACTGACCAATAATTAGTATCCTAAATATATTTTTTAAAGTCCAGTGAATCAATAAGAAAACATCCTAGTGGAAAGTATGGGCAAAATACTTCACAAAAGAGAACCTACCCCTGACCAAGCACAGATTCTTAAAGGGGAGATGAAGGCATTGTAGACTTCACCAGGCTCAAAAAGGTGAAGGAACGGCATAGGCCAGTGCAGGGCAACGAGAGCAGGCTGTGCATAGAAACCCTGCCAGGCTGGCATTGCCACAGTGCAGAGCATGAGTGCCAGGGCAGGGCTTGGAGGGGTGCTGAGGGGCTGAGGGGGGTGCAGAAAGGGGCTGGGAGGCACAGGCCACGAGCCAGATCAGGTCAGTTTCAGCATTTCACTGCCAGCTCTCTGTCAAGGCCCCAGGTTTTGAAGAATGTTGTGTCTACCAGGGGGTAGTCATCATCAACACATTCCTTTTGTTTTTGTTTTCTTTTTTTGGTTAATTTTTTATACTTTTAAGTTTCTATTATTTTTATCTTAGAATAGTCTTCATTACCAACCTGCTCTTTTGAGACAGGGCCTCACTCTGTTGCCAGGCTGAAGTGCAGTGGTGCCATCAGGGCTCGCTGCAGCCTCCACCTCCCTGGGCTTGTCTTCAACAACATAAAAGCTGTGTCTGACAGCACACCCCCACCACAGTGTCCCAGGAAGCTGGCACGAAAGTTAACTCTGGCCCTTGGCCTTCGGTCTCTGGCAGGATTCCCAGGTCAGAACACGGGAAATACAAGGTGCTGTACAACTCACGGCTGCTGTTCCGCAGCCGGCTCTATGGGGACCTGGAGGCCCTCCTGTACCATGTGCACCTCTTCCAGCCCACGGAGCTGCTGATGCATCAGGCGGTGCTCTTCCTGCGAGATGCGAAGTGGAGGCGGGTCTTCCAGGCGCTGGCCAGGTAGGTGTGGCAGCCCGCATGGGGTCCTGCGCTCAGCGGGAGGGACACTTCTTAGCACTCTGTGCCCAAACAAGTGAGCTGGGGCATCCAACAGCTAGATAGTGGCACCAACAGACAGTGGGGGGAGGGGACCGTTTGCCCAGATGCTGTGACTCTGTTGTGTCTGCTGCTCTTGGGGCATGTCCTAGAATCAATCACCTAAGGAGGGAGTGGCTGGTTAAGACCTATTTTCTATTTTTGATCTTTGTCGGAAAAAGAAAAAGAAGAAAAAAGACCCATTTTCTAACCTGGGCAATGGAGTGAGACCTCATGTCCACAGAAATTTTTTAAGAATTAGCCAGGTGTGGGCCAGGCACAGTAGCTCACACCTGTAATCCCAGCACTTTAGGAGCCTGAGGTGGGAGGATGGCTTGAGCCCAGGAGTCTGAAACCAGCCTGGGCAACCTAGTGAGACCCCATCTCTACTAAAAATCCAAAAATTAGCTGGGTGTGGTGGCATGTGCCTGTGGTCCCAGCTACGTGGGAGGATTGAGGTTGAGGCAGAGGTTGCAGTGAGCCAAGATTGCACCACTGCACTCCGGCCTGGGCAGGAGAGCAAGACTCAGTCTCAAAACTAAAGGCCTGGCACGGTGGCTCACTCCTGTGATCCCAGCACTTTGGGATTAGAGACCCCGTCTCTACGGGAAAAAAAAAAAAAACACACAAAAATTAGCCAGGAGTAGTGGCTCACACCTGTAATCTCAGCTACTTGGGAGTCTGAGGCAGGAGAATCACTTGAACCTGGGAGGCGGACATTGCAGTGAACTGAGATTGAGCCATTGCACTCCAGCCTGGGTGACAGAATGAGATGTCCATGTCAAAAACAAAAGAACAAAAACAGGCTGGGTGCAGTGGCTCATGCCTGTAATTCCAGCACTTTGGGAGGCCAAGGCGGGCAGATGACCTAAGTTCAGGAGTTCAAGACCAGCCTGACCAACATGAAGAAATCCCGTCTCTAAAAATATATAATTAGCTGGGTGTGGTGGCACATACCGGTAATCCTAGTTAGGAGGCTGAGGCAGGAGAATCGATTTAACCTGGGAGTCAGAGGATGTGGTGGGCCGAGACAGTGTCATTGCACCATAGCCTGGGCAATGAGAGTGAAACCCCATCTCAAAAAAACAAAAAAAAAAAAACATTTTCCAAGTGAGAATTGGGGAAAACAATGGAAGGGATGCAGGACTCAGCCAGGCCCGCCAGGCCAGCGCAGCTCTCCCCCACCGCCTGATGCTTTTTCTTTCTTCTGCTTCCTGAACCCTCCCTCCCCAACCCCATTCCTTCCAACACCAGGTCCAAAGGTCTGGCTCTTGGATCCTACTCACCTTTGCCGGAAGCTGCTTCTGCCCACCTGGCCTGCCTTTGCCCCCTGGCTATGGGCCTCCAAGTGTGGGAGCTGCAATGCTGCCTGGCTCGTGCTGGAGAGACTACCCCTGCCTGTGCCAGGGTCTCACCATTCCCTCAGCGAGCAGCTGCTGGCCCACGCTGGCTCTAGGAGGGCTGTTGGCACACCAGTCCCCACCCTCAGGAGGCCACAGTTCAGAAGCAGAGATGACATAAAGAACACGGGCAGTGGGGTACCCTGGGACCCGGTGGGGGCATGAAGGAGGGGGCTGCTGCTTTCCCCAGGGCAGGAAAGGCTGCTGTTGAGGAAGGGCTGGAGCATTTTCAGCAGGTGCTGGATGGGGCAGGAAGTATAAACCCTGTCTTTGTATTTTTAGAGCCAACAGCAGGTCTGGCCCGAGCTAGCACTCACTGGATGTATTAATGGAGGAGGAAGAAGCTGGAGAGAGGAAGGAGAAGGAACTTGGTCAGGACTAAGAGGCTTTTCTTTGATTCCACAGCCCTCAGTTTTGGCATGTGGGGTGGTGCCACAGCGTTTGGGATGAGGCCAGCCCCGGTCCCGCCTTTTAGGTGACAGAAGGCAGCTGAGGGTTCTGTGAAGGAAAGAGAAGAACACTATTTAGAAAGTGCTTACTGCATCCAAGGTGGCTGCATCCATGTGGCTTTATTTCTAGCTAAAAGGTGAGGAAGCCAGATTCAGAAAGGCTAAGGCTGGGCCAGAGTCACTGGGACAGTAGGTGTTAGGATAAGCACCTACTGTACAGTGGACTTCGGAGGCAGCTGAGACAGTGAGCAGCCAGCAGGCATGCCTGAGCATGGGTTCCAGACCCAGTGTCCACTGCACACCAGGCCATGGCAGAGGGGACCAAAGAGGAGGAGGCCTTGGGGCTGGGGAGGTGGGCCGGTCGTTCAGTCCCTGAGCCTTGCTGAGGACTCTCTCCAGCCTCCTCCTCCTCCTCTGTTAACAGCCAGCCCCATGAGGCTCTGTGTACGATGCTCCCAGTGCGGAAGCCTCTGTACTCCACACCCCTGATGGGCAGCTGGTAGCACTGTGCCCTGATGGGGTGTGTGGGTAGAGGGGAGGCACGGCTAAGGCCACAGGAACAGAGGAGCACTCAGAGCAAACCGTGGGAGCCTTCATCTTCCGGGGGCTGGGGAGAAGATGGAGAAGGAGGCTTTTGCCACGAGCCCAGGCTCAGCAGACTGGAATCTGAGCTCTCTAGTCACAGGCTCCAGGACCTGGGAGCAGCTAAGCAGCCTCTGAGTGTTCATTTCCTGCTGCAGGATGCGATGATTACACCTGTCTTGCATGGTAGAGGCTCAGTGGGGTGGTGGTTCTTTGTTGCAGGATCCACGACATCTGCCATAACAGCACCACCCTCCAGGACGTGACGGTGAGAGACCTGCTGCCCTCCTCTGCTATGATCAAAGACTTGAGCCAAGAGTTTGGAATGCCCCTTTCGCAAGAAGAACTCACAGATGAGAAACTGTTCACCCTACCACCTCAGCCTGCCCCCAATCTTGAGGACTACAGTGGTCGGAAGTCCACCCTCACCTTAGAGATCCATGCCCACCAGGAGAAGTACCTGCAGTGGCGGAGTGCCATGCTGCTGAAGAACAAAGACAAAAAGCACAGCTTCCTCCAGGTGGGCAGCCCTCCTCTCTGACTCAGGGCCCCCAAACCCCACCTGGGCAGTCCAGGTGCTTGCTGAGAGGCACAAGGCATATTCCTGAGTGCGGCATCTGCCTCTGGTCCATGCCTGTGCTCCTGGCCTTGGGTTAACCAGCTGGCTGGGCAAGAAGTGCAGAACGTGGGGCTGAGCCACGTCAGAAACCTTCACTCCCAGTCCTAGATAACCTTGGCCTTCCTGAAAGGTGAGAAGGAATGCTATTAGGTGTGTTACCTTTCCATGGCCCCAGAGTTCATTGTAGAGAACTGTAGCACGTATGTGTGTGCGTGCGCACGCGTGTGTAACATCTTGGTTAGGCTGCTCAGGACACAAGCGTCGTAAGACATCCAAGCAACATAGGATACAAACTAATCTGCATGACAGAGGGAGAATGGGAGGCGGAGAAGCTGGTGACGGGGCGGAAGGATGATGCTATGTGGCCTGAATGGACAAGAAGACTCTCCCTCACCCTCAACTAGAAAGACATGAAAACACAAACATCTGTGGGATGACTTGCGGGTGTCTGCCCACAGTCTGCGTGAAGGCCCTACCATCCCAATTCTCCAGTTTAAAAACAAAGTCTCCTAGAAGCTTGTAAGCTTTGCATGTGTGCATTCTTTATGAAAACCAACAAACAGACTTTTTTTCTTTTCTTTGTTTTGAGTCGGGGTCTCCATTGCCCCGGCTAGCATACAGTGACGATCATGGATCACAGCAGCCTCCAACTCCTGGGCTCAAGCAGTCCTCCAGCTTTGGCCTTCTGAGTAGGCAGGTGTGCGCCACCACACCTGGTTAATTTTTTTTAATTTTTTTTTTTTTTTTTTTTTAGAGATTGGGTCTTGCTTTGCTGCCCAGGCTGGTCTCCAGCTCCTAGGCTCAAGGGATTCTCCTGCCTCGGCCTCCCAAAGTGTTGGGATTACAGGTGTGAGTCACTGTGGCTGGCTGTTTTTTCCATTAGTGTTCAGCTTTTTAGCTTTTTCAAAAGACCCAGTTCTTGGATTTATCAATTCTGCTTTTTCTGTTTTTCTAATTCATTAACTTCAGCTTTTATTCTTATAATTTTTTTTTTTGAGACTGAGTTTCGCTCTCGTTACCCAGGCTGGAGTGCAATGGCGCGATCTCGGCTCACCGCAACCTCCGCCTCCTGGGTTCAGGCAATTCTCCTGCCTCAGCCTCCTGAGTAGCTGGGATTACAGGCATGCACCACCATGCCCAGCTAATTTTTTTTGTATTTTTAGTAGAGACGGGGTTTCACCATGTTGACCAGGATGGTCTCGATCTCTTGACCTCGTGATCCACCCGCCTCAGCCTCCCAAAGTGCTGGGATTACGGGCTTGAGCCACCACGCCCGGCCTATTTTTATAATATTTTAAAACTTACACCTTTCTCCCTTTTCCTATCTTCTCAAGTTGGCTATTTCATTCACTTTAATTTCTCGTTTTTTTTTGTTTGTTTGTTTTGTTTTGTTTTTTTTTTTTTGAGACGGAGTTTCGCTCTTGTTACCCAGGCTGGAGTGCAATGGCGCGATCTCGGCTCACCACAACCTCCGCCTCCTGGGCTCAGGCAATTCTCCTGCCTCAGCCTCCTAAGTAGCTGGGATTACAGGCACGCGCCGCCATGCCCAGCTAATTTTTTTGCATTTTTAGTAGAGACGAGGTTTCACCATGTTGACCAGGATGGTCTCGATCTCTCGACCTCGTGATCCACCCACCTCGGCCTCCCAAAATGCTGGGATTACAGGCTTGAGCCACCGCGCCTGGCAATTTCTCGTTTAATAAATTTATATATTATAGCACTTTGGGAGGCTGAGGTGGGTAAGCTGCTTACGCTTAGGAGTTTGAGAACAGCCTGGGCAACATGGTGAAACTGTCTTTACAAAAATTAGCTGGGCATGGTGGCACACACCTGTAGTCCCAGCTACTCAGGAGGCTGAGGCTTGAGCCTGGGAAGCACAGGTTGCAGTAAGCCGAGATCATGCCACGGCATTCCCTGGATGGCAGAGTGAGACCCTGTCTCAGTGTGGGGCACAGCAGCTCATGCCTCTAATCCCAGCACTTCGGGAGGCTGAGGCAGGCAGATCCTTGAGGCTAGTAGTTTAAAAGCAGCCTGGCTGGCCGGGCGCGGTGGCTCAAGCCTGTAATCCCAGCACTTTGGGAGGCCGAGGCGGGTGGATCACAAGGTCAAGAGATCGAGACCATCCTGGTCAACATGGTGAAACCCTGTCTCTACTAAAAATACAAAAAAATTAGCTGGGCATGGTGGCGCGTGCCTGTAATCCCAGCTACTCAGGAGGCTGAGGCAGGAGAATTGCCTGAACCCAGGAGGCGGAGGTTGTGGTGAGCCGAGATCACGCCATTGCACTCCAGCCTGCGTAACTAGAGCGAAACTCTGTCTCAAAAAAAAAAAAAAAAAAAAAAAAAAAAAAAGGCAGCCTGGCCAACATGGCAAAACTCCCATCTGTACAAAAAATAGAAAAATTAGATGGGTGTGGTGGCGTGCACCTGTAATCCCAGCTACTCAGGAGGCTGAAGCAGGAGAATCACTTGAACCCAGGAGGTGGAGATTCCAGTGAGCCAAGATCGTGCCACTGTACTTCAGCACTCAGAGTGACCGAGTGAGACCATATCTCAAAAAAAAAAAGTCAATGTTGAAAGTATTTACAGTCTTCCTTATCCTACCTCACAATGAATTTAGATATGTACAAGAATATATATTCATTTCATGGGTTAATACAATTTTGTTAATACCACTTAACAAGGAAGCATTTTAAATTTATTTTTATTTTTGAAGCAGTATTTTTGCCAGGCTGGAGTGTAGTGGTGTGATCTCGGCTCACTGTAGTATCTGCCTCCCAGGCTCAATTATCCAGCCTCAGCCTTCCAAGCAGCTGGGATTACAGGCACACACCACCATGCCTGGCTAATTTTTGTATTTTTAGTAGATACGGAGTTTCACCATGTTGCCCAGGCTGGTCTAGAACTCCTGACCTCAAGTAGTCCACCTACCTCAGCCTCCCAAAGAGCTAGAATTACAGGTGTGAACCACCACACCCAGCCACAAGGAAGAGTTTTTAAAGATTTTGCAATAATATGGACAATTTTATAATATGTAGTATACAATTTATTTACTAGCCCCATCTCTTGTAAATTTGCTGAAATCACTTGTAAATTTTTTTTTTATAAATCACATTCCTATTATCTTAAATATGGCTACTTTAAAATGGCTTTAAATTAGCTGGGCATGGTGGCTCGTGCCTGTAATCCCAGCTACTCAGGAGGCTGAGGCAGGAGAATTGCTTGAACCCAGGAGGCGGAGGTTGCGGTGAGCCAAGATTGCGCCATTGCACTCCAGCCTGGGTAACAAGAGCAAAACTCAGTCTCAAAAAAAAAAAAAAAGGCTTTCAATTTCCTATGTATACTATAATAATTGAAACCCAACCATAATTTTTCACATTTTTATAACTTTATTGAGATATAATTTACATACCATAAAATTCATCCATTGTAAGTATATATAAATCAATAGTTTTTAGTAAATTTAATTACAATACCATCATCACAATCCAGTTTTAGAACATTTCCATTCCCACAAAAAGTATTATCATGCTAGTTTATACTCAATCTCTGCTCCATTCTTAGTCCCACATAACCACTGATATGCTTTCTGTCTCTGTAGATTTGCCTTGTCTCAATATTTCAGGTAAGTGGAACCATATAATTACATAAACTTTTGTGTCTGGCTTCTTTCACTGGGCATAAAGTTCCATGTTCATCCATGTTCCTAAATATATCAGCATTGCGTTCCTTTTTTATTGCTGAAGAGTATTCTATTGAATTGATATACCACATTTATTCATTCACCACTTTTTGGAATTACTATTATTTCTTGCTTGGGGCTATGATAACTATTGCTCCTATGAACATTTGCATACAAATCATTATGTGAAAATATGTTTTCATTTCTCTTGGGTAGAACTTAGGAGTAAAATTGCTGGGTCATATTGGTAAGTTTATATTTATGATTTTAAGAAATTACATTGTGGGGCAGGTATGGTGGCTCACACCTATAATCCCAGCACTTTGGGAGGCTGAGGCAGGTGGATCACCTGAGGTCAGGAGTTCAAGACCAGCCTAACCAACATGGTGAAACCCCGTCTCCACAAAAAAGAAAAGAAAGAAATTACTTTGTGGCCTGGCACAGTGGCTCACACCTGTAATCCCAGCACTTTGGGAGGCTGAGGTGGGCAGTTCTTGAGGTTAGGAGTTTGCGACCATCCTGGCTAACATGGTGAAACCCCATCTCTGCTAAAAATACCAAAAAAAAATTAACCAGGTGTGGTGGCACATGCCTGTAGTCCCACCTATTTGGAAGGTTGAGGCAGGAGAATCACTTGAACCCAAGAGGCAAAGATTGCAGTGAGCCAAGATCATACCATTGCACTCCAGCCTGGGCAATAGAGCGAGACTCCATCTTAAAAAAAAAAAAAAAGTACATTGTAAGAAAAGCAGTTTTTACAGTGTAGTTGCACAATCTTACATCCCTACCAGCAATGCAGGAGGGTTCCAGTTTCTCCACATTCATAAACACTGCTTGCCAGTCCTTTTGATTATAGCCATTCTAGTGTGTGATGATATCTTATGATTTTAATTTGCATTGTATAATGACAGATGATGTTATATAACTTTTAATGTGCTTATTAGGAATTCATAAAGCTTCTTTGGTATAATATATATTCATATCTTTTTGAAATAATTTTTTTTAAATTGAGACAGGGTCTTACTGTGTTACCCAGGCTGGTCTTGAGCTCCTTGGGTGCCAGCAATCCTCCCGCCTTGGCTTCCTGAAGTGCTAGGATTACAGTCATGAGCCACCAGGCTTGGCCCTCTGTGTGTATGATTTATCCGTTTTAAAATCAAGTTGTCTTTTTATTGTTGAGTTGTTATATATTCTGGATACAAGTACTTAATGAGAAATAT